CGGCTGGGCGGAAGCTGCCCGGGCCGCCATATTGTTTAGGGGCAGCTGCTCCGGCTCTGGCCGGGCGCCCTCGGAACCTGTGGACTCGTCGCGAATAGCCACCCCTTCTTGGCTCCACACCCAGTCCCCTCCCGGGCCCCGGACTCGTAGCGCAGGGTTTCTGGCGCCAGCAGACACCCGGCAGGATAAGCGGCGCAAGCAAGGGTCAGAAGCGGTTCCTTGTTTTGAGTCAGCACGTGGATTGGCGAGCCAATCTTTGAGAGCGTCCACGTTCATTCGCCGGCCGCCCACACCCTCCTTATCCTGGGTCGGAATGCAGAACCGCCCAGACGCAAGGCTCCAGGCCTGTCAAAGTCGGCGGCTGTCCTGGACCTTTGAGGGCTCTGCCTGCGGCTGGGCGGCAAGCAAGGGCTGGGACAGCCTCCAGTGGAGGCCAGGGCATCTTGGGAGGACACTCTCCAAGAGTGTCCCACTCTTGGAGACACGCAGATGGCCACTGGAGATGGTACCGCCTGGACTGCCCTGAGGCTAACTGTTGTGCAAGGGCTTGGCCGCTCGCCCTCGAAGGCAGAATACGGAGAGCGGCCGGCTAAGTACAGAAAAGTAGCTGGAGCTAAAAGGGCGTGGAGCCCGGCGACAAGGATTTGAGAGGGGCATTTATGCTCCCATTCAGTGAAATCAGTGGATCAATATCAGGTATTCATCTTTAATTCACATCACAGCAGTCAAGGGAGGGGAGGAGTCAATTGGCAGATATTTACATCTAAAATTCACATTACTTGTTGGATTTATAACATGCTACCACAATATATACAGTAAAATACCTCTTGGGACACCGGCACAATTGTTTTTTTTAACTCTTCTGGTACAGGTAAGATCATTTTTAAATCAGTTTTTCTTTAGACATGAATACACAAAGGAAATGGTTAGAAGTTTTCTTGTTTTAAATAAGCACAGAATGCCAGAGGTTAAAAACACATTTATAGGGCTTATTACCAATTAGACATCACACTCTATACATTTTTTGCTCAAATTCCTGTACAAATACACAGCATTCAAATAGATATTTACAAATATGCTTGAAAGAATGAAAATCAGTATTTCACAATCTTCTCAAAGGATTCTGATCTCTGGCCTCCCATTTCCCTCTCACTGGCTGGTTTCTCAAAAGAAAGTACTCAGAATAGGGCCATTTCATCCAGTTAGGGGAAATGGGGAGGGACAACACAAATATATTTCATCTTGCATAAAGCCAGGCCAAGGAACTTAACCCTACATTGCCCTCCCGACTTCCTGTGCCACCAAGTGGAGAAGGTAAATGTCAGCATGTGATAATTGGCTGCCTTCATGGACTGAGGCTCAGATGTGCCTGGAAACTAAAGCTGCCTTACCAACGAATCACATTCAAAGCTAGACTTTGACCCTCACACCTGTGAACCCTGACGGTCCGGAGACAAGCTTACTAATGAACCTAGGCTTAGGAGCAGGTGTGCACACCCTTGGAGCCAGGGCTCCCTGGATTGGCCTACATCCTCAGCAGTCTCTATTCTGCTTGAATGATCCCGAGGGTATCAGAAAGCCCTACACATATTGACCCTGGACCCCAACATATTCTGGAGGAAAATGGGCCTTTTATCTTTTCCCTTAGGTTATTTGCTGGCAGTTCTATTGAACTTGTTTATAAGAAAAAAACACCCTGACCGTGGACTTCTCTGTTTGGGAAAGAACTGTGCAGAAAGGATGAGCAGCTAGGCCCAGGACTTGGCCACAGGAGGCCAGAAGGCCAACAAGTTAAGGGGTGTAGGGGAATAACATACCTGCTCACCAAGGAGAAGGCAGTCTCATGGCCATCACTGATGTGAGTGTAAGCAAATGAAAAAACAAAACAACAACAACAAAAAAAAAACAACTGTCTCAAGACAAGTTATTTTTTTAAAAGTAACTTAGAAGCACCCTGGTAAAATATTACCATACCCCCACCATAATACCAAGAGAAAAATCAGTGCCCTGACAAGAAAGAATTTCCTATAAAGTCACCACTGTGCCCTGCCTAACAGACTGGGGAGGTCTGAAAAACTGCCCTTCTGCCTGCTGGCCCTGAACCCTGAGTGGCGGTCCCTATGGGTTTGGAGTGGAGGGCTCAGATCTTGGCTACTTGGAAGATAACAGTTTTACCTGTGTGGCTTTCTGCTTCCAAAATTAGTTTCCTCCCATCATTTTTTATTTTATTTTTTTATGTTTTAAACCCATGAGCTTCCTGAACCTGACCACACGTCCTCAGGGCCTGGAAGCCAGGCTGGGCAGCCAACCCCAAGGCTCAGAGGTAGTGCTGAAAATCCCTGATTCAGGCGCTAAGTGGCAGGTGTTTGGGACCACCTGTGAAAGCTAAGCGCTTTCTGGTTCCTGCCACACTCCAGCCTCACTCTTAACACCAGCTCTTTCTAACACAAGGGAAGGAGTCTAACTCCCTGCAGGAGTGATAGCCCTTCTGGCTTCATTTAATTCAAGCCCCAGGGCGTGAGAGACAACCCTTGCAAGTCCATTCGAGCCAGGGAGGCTTCTGAAGATCATGAGGTGTTTTGAGTGGAAAGGAGCAAAAAGTCCAAAATAAAAGTGAAGGATAACGTCCAAAGTGGGATAAGAGACAAGGCTGGCCCATGGAAGCCTGGCAGTGTGCCCTGGGCATGCAGTTAGGCCAGTCATGTGCCTGACCAGCCCCTCAGTTGCACACTCCTAGATGGAAGAGTGGGCTGGCGGGCAAGCATTTGTGCAAAACAGCTTATGGCCCCTTTGTCCACCTGTGACATGTAGTCCATGTGGTCCTTGCAATCCCTGAATGCAACCATGATTTTTTTTTTCTGTCCATACAGCAAAGGAAGAGGTCCCTAGTGCAATTTCCATTCTTCGCCATCGCTACCCTGGAAGGAGGCCTGGGCTCCTACTCCTGGACTCTGCATTGCTGCAAAGCAATTCTGTCTGTGCAATATCTCCATATAGCTCCATGTGGTCTGGAACTGCAGGAGGAAGAAAGCAACTACTGCATAAAGGAAAACCCAGAAAAATGGGAACAAAAAATGAAATAAAAGAGAAGCCACAAGCCTTCATGCTGCTGTGGCCTCTGGACATGGCAATACATGAGTTCACGGCAGTAGAACAGAGACTCTGGTGGTTTTCTCCTGAGTGCCAAGCCTCTAGCTCCCTGGGAGGGACTTGCATTTCAGACCCCGAGTGCCTGGGCAAGCTGCTTATGGAAGGTGGTGGTGCAGCTGCCTCTCTGCTCCTCACTGTTCCCCTCGGCCGTGCTCCCAGGCCATGCGGGCCTGCTCCTCCTTGGCGCTCCCAGGAGGCAGTGAGGCCTTTCGGTGCAGGCCCCTTGGCCTCTCAGCCTCCTCCCGCAGTAGCATACCCTCATCGTGCTCTAGGGCTGGCAGGCGGGGGTGGTAGGGCTTGGGTGGCAACGCAGGTGGGTCCATGGGGTCCTGAGGGATGACACACCCTGGGGCTGAGTGGCTTCTGCATGGCTGGGACTTGATGGAGTCAAGGACAGCAGACTCAGAGAGGCTGTAGTGGACAGGGAGGTAGGGTGGCTCAAGGTCTTCATCGCCATTCCAGGCCTGGCTCGGCATGGAGTCCATGGTGTCTGTTCGAGGTGGGGCCTCTGAGGAGTGCCCAAAGTTACTCTCACTCAAGGAGGACACACCGCTGCTGGCACTGCCAGACAGCGTAGAGTTGCTGCCATCCAGGCCCGATTGGGGGCTTGTAGGGGAGGCTGGGATGGGGTGGAGAGGAGACTGTGCGAAGGAAAGGGTGGGTAAGTTAGAATTCCCCTCTAGACAGGTGGACTGGCCTGCCATGTGGAGACCAAGAGTCTGCTTATCAACGAACTTTAAAGTTTTAGCAGCTTCATGTCTTTCTTCAGCAATGACTCCCCCTAAGTGTCTGCCCCCCAAAGCAAGCTAGTGGAGCCCAGAATCACTATTATTTCTGAGGGCCAATAAATGCTCTTGCCTTGGCTGCTGGGCACTGATGCACCTGAGGCCAAGTCCCAGGTTAGGTATGGTCTGAGTTCCTGACAGGAGGGCTCTGGGTTATCAGATAGAAGGAACCCTGGTGGGCCACAGATCAGATGAATGTTATTCTGTTGCTAAAATCTGTC